AAGAGCCTCTCAGTTGACCGTGTTGCTTCGGCTCCTGTTTTCAACACTCCCAGCCTCCCTGGGTGCATCCCCGGCCAGCCCCAGCACCGAGACATCATCTGTGGAAAGAAGAGCAGTGTCTGCCTTGCTGTCCATGGGCAGTCAGGCATTCGCTGGCCACTTGGGGCCCTGCCCAGCTCCCCCTGGCATTCACTGAAGTCCCTTCAGCTGCTTCCACCACCTCCCTCAGCTCACACTAGAGCCCCTGCTACTGGGAATCCTAAACTGAGATGCTTAGCAGTTGCCACCTCCTTGCCACCCTGCAGGGTGGAGGGGAAGGGAGCAGTGTTCACGTGTGCTGAAGCCCACAGCCTGCCCTCCTCTAGGGCCCAGTGCCCTCAAGGCCTGCAATGGACAGAGCCGCGGGGGGCTCTGAGGTGGGGGACTTGCCATGCAGATCTCTTAGCAAACCTTGAGACCTCAGTGCTGCAGCACCCCCCCCCCATCCCCATCCCCATCCCCAGCCTAGCCAGCTCCCCCAGCAGCAGGCAGTGCTGCAGCTTTGCAGAGAGCACCAAGCGCGCCAGGGCAAAGGAACAGCAGCTCATCCATCATTGGACCCTGGTGCCCAACTCCCCCTGCCTGGCTCCAAGTATGAGGACAAGGTGCGTTGGCTTCAAACAGCAAGAGCTTGATGAGCGGCAGGAGCAGGCTGCACTGCTTTGGCATTCAAAGCAAGCTGAAGCCCCCAGGACACGGGGCCATAGAGCAGTGTCCCCCAGCCCCCATCACACTCAAACTGCTTGGCCTTGATGACCTGATCCCACCAGCATTGGCACCTCTACTGGGAAGTGAGGAGCAGGAGCACCACCCTCTCCCAATGCCTGGCTCAGGGCTGCAGGGACCACCTGGTGCCCAGGAGTTTAAGGGACTCTGCCAGTGGGGCTGGGTGACAATGGGACACGGCCACCTTCTGGGGTAGAAATGGTGCTGCCAAGCCCTGTGGGAGCCTGCCCCGCGCCTCCCTCCTGCACAGCCAGCAGCATCTTGGCAGAAGCTCTGCTCATTTTACCTTCGAGGCTTTGCCATCCAGTGCACTGCAGAGGCTCACGTGCATACATGCGGCAAGCAGGGACTAGGAGCCCCAGCTTAGGCATGCAGCTGGGGCCACGGCCTGGGTTGGCTGACCCTCCTGGAGACAGGGCTGGGGAAGGGGAGGGGAGGGGGTGGTCTCTAGGACTCCGTGTGAAGAACAGCTAGCGGCTGTGCAGGGGTGGGGTACCTGCCCAGGAGACTCGCAGGGGAAACTGCAGGCACAATGAGAGAGGGAAGAGTGTAGTTTTTTGGTAGTTAAACATGCCACTTATGGGATAATGTTACCTGGCTCCCCGCAGCATCCCCTGAAGGACACTGTGAGATCCCCCATAGCCGGCTGGGCTACACACACCCTACTGGGACACAGGTACGGGATTTCCCTGTGGCCAGAACGGCTTGAGAAGGTTCCTTCACTCGTAACCTGGTCAGACAGAGCTGGTGCCTGCCCCTGCAGGAGATCCTGCCAGGCTAATGGGCCCATAAAACCTGGCCCCTGATTCTGCACATGGCAGACCAGCCCCCTCCCAGGACATGGTACTTACGGAATCGGATCTGGATCGGCCAGATCATGATGCAACACAGACATACAGTGGCAGCCACAGCTACCCCACCAGTGACCACCACCATCACCCAGTGGTAGAAGTCAATACAAGCAGTGCAGCAGAGCTGGGTCCTGCAGAGACAGAGGAAGAAGACGACTGCAGTGAGGCACCAGCTGGGTGTCCAGCTCCCAAATCCCACAGGCTCTGACACCCACGCTGGAGAAGATGGTGCTCTGGGCAGGCTGGATGAGAGCTGGGTGCAGCAAAGTGCAGCCGCCCATGCAGCAGTCATCCCTAGGCCATGCACCAACACTAGGGATGGTGTAGCTGCCCCACTGCCCAAATGTGCCCATATCATTCTGCTGGGAGATGGGTAGAGGATTGCTTACTACAGCTGCCATTTAGTGGAGCTCTTTTTGCTCAGAGGGCTGTGCTGATAGTTGCAAGGTCACTCCCTTCGGCTGCCAGAGGACACAGGGGCCTATTGCAAGGCAGGGTGGGGAAGAAGGGGAACCTCTTTTTCAGGAGCCCTTGGCCTTCCCCAGGCACTCATGCTCCAGCCACGTCAACATTCATGGTTTATCTGGTCTGCAGGGAGTTCCAACGTGTTAAGAAAAAATAAAGTGGCTTGGGGCCAGCATGGCTTGTTTGAGGCTGAACAGTTTAAACCTAAGAGGATTCCAGGGAGTCCTCAGAGCGCTTCACGCCCAGAAGCTGAAGTGTTTGGTTTCCATACAGATTGGGGGGGGTAAGGGGTCCATTTTCATGGAGACAGTCCCCAGTCAGTCCAGATCTCCATCTCTGGTGAGCTGCCTCAGCCCTGCTCCGCGCCCAGCCCAGCGACCACTTACGGGCAGGGATGCAGGTTCTGGATGGCCATCACTGCCAGCCCATTGGCCACTTTGTCTGTGAAGCTCATGGCCCCATAGACAAAGGCTCCACTGTGCTGCAAGGCAAAGACAAACAGTGCTGAGATCTTCCTGCCACTAGGTGAGAGCAGGGGCCCCCACATCCCAGAGTTTGCCCAAATCCAGGCATGCAGGCCCATGCTGGGCTCTTTAGTGCTCAAGCACCCTGTTGCCAGTGCTGAGCCAGGGAGACCTGGCCATGACCATGAGGAATGGGGCCCTTGTGCCCTCTCGTGGGAAAATGAGTTACTGCAGCAGCATCCTCAGCTTAGGGCAGGGGCCTTATTCTGCACAGACAAGCTGCCTGCTGAGTAATGTTAGAGGCACAGGGACAGGAAACCCAGGAACGGCTCAGCCCCAAGAGCCCAGAGCCTGGTGTTGCCAAATAGCTCTATGCCAAAACCATCCCTGAATGCAGCCCTGGCCCCAGCCACGTTGGCAGGTGCCAACAAAGTGCCTTTCCCTGGGCTGTCCTAAAACAGTATCCAAGAAGCTCTTGCATATGGGGATGGCAAGGAGCTGTGCACTGGCTATTCTAACCCCAAAGAGATGCAGCCCAGCAGCAACCAAGCCCATCCCACTGTCCCACCTGCAAGAGCAGAAGGAACATACCGTGTTGGTCCCAATCAGGTCAGCAGTCATGGAGAGGGACGTGACCAAGATGGTGGCTGAGCCAGCCCCGAGCAGCACTGCTGCTCCATAAATCTCAACTCCTATCTGGCGATCCAGGGCCACCCAGGTGGCAAAGGCCAGGATGATGAGTAGCCCTGCAAAGTAGGTCAGCTGCTCCAGAGACAAGAAGAAAGTGGGTAGAAGAAGAAAAACTCTTTAAACCCTGGCTTCCTGGGATCCTTGTGCTTCAGCTCTACCCACTAGCAGAGCAGTGCACCAGGTGAAGCCAGGACAGGAGTGAGCAGAGGTGGGGTCAGGATGCTGGACCCATTGCAGAGCAGCATGGAAGCCTATGCAGGCTAGCACAGCTCTCTGGTGAGCTAGGATATGATCCTGTTGGCAGGATCAAACATGGACCCTCCTGCTAAAAGAGTCCTTTCTGTAGTGCACACTGGTGTCACCTCTGCAGCTTCTGGACAGTGGACACAACTGCCCAGAGGGAAAGATTCCCCAATAATTGGAGCCTGGTTGTCATAAGACACTGAACAAGCCATCACACACTGCCCTGGGCTGAAGCAAGGCTCCAACAGTGGCAGCTTTCTGATCCCGGCGCTGCTTGTCCTGCCTGGGCTGTCTCCACTGAGCTGCAAGTTCCTGCTGAACCCTCAAGACCAGTCTGGCTAACTCCTGTGCCCTGGACTTGTGCACTAAATAACCAGCCTGTGAGCCAGCACTGATGGGCTGGAAAGTCTAGTGTCCCATGCCCTAAATGACTTTGCATGAGCCCCGATTTCTAGACAGGCCTGCGCTAAGCACTTTCTGAGAGCTGGGCCTCTTGGAGGAGTCTTAACTCAATCTGGGGAACCCCAAGCAGCAGAAGCACCCTTCCCTACGTACAACAGCCAGCCCAGCACTGCAATGTTGGGTCAGTGCCCAACAGCCTGAAAGCCACAGCCGGCTCTGCACACCGAGCCTGTTCACTTTCACTCTCTCTCATTGTGAGAGTGAAACGTCCCGAAACCAGCGGCCACAGCAGTAACAGGCGCGTAGGACAAGGCTGGTTTGGTAACCAGCCCAGGAAAGGGGGTTTACTCAGATTTAGTGGTTTGGGCTCCCGCTCAGAGAAACTCTGCTGTGCCTGGGGAGGAGAGGGTAATGAACTCATGACCTGACCTCCCCAGCTGGGGAAACCCCAGGCCACAGCCCCAAAACAGCACTCTCTGCAAGAAGCATTTCAGTCAGAGCCACAAGGCTCCAGGGTAGCCTTCCCAACGCAGCCTGGGGCGCAGAGCTCCAGTGAGATTCAACACAGACTCAAATGCATTTACAAATGGCCTGCATAACTTGGCAGCTGCCATCACAAGGCCCAGGCACCAGCCAGCAAGGCCCTGTCCACCTCCATGCCAGCCCCTGATGCTTCCCAAGCCTGACTCCTGCACAGCCCAAACCTGTTCAGTCCCATGCAGACATGTCCAGGCCCATCATTATTCTTCTCACCTGCAGCTGACTCCTGTTACTGCTTGCTGTCCGTCCCTGCCTCTGCTCCTGCTCACTGCCTTGTTGAATAAGCGAGTGGCAGGGCATGGGTTTCCACACAAGTGAGACCCCCAGGAATGCAAGCACTTGCTGTTACTCCCCAGCGCCATGGCACTATTAGCCGTGCAAAGCAGGAGTTGGCATCAAGAGGGTAGCCCTTCTGCCTTCGCCTGTCAGTGGGAGCCGCAACCCCTTCTCTGGGACTCCAGCCCTCCCAGGGCTCCACAGCCAGACCCTTGGAGATTTAGATGCATGCTAGGAATCACTGAGGTGTCCAGGACCACCTAGATCCCACTGCCAGGCCTACAGAGCGACCATGAGAAGCGCCCTCCCTCCCTCTGGCTCAGTCGCGCTTGGGTTTCAGGCTACACTGCACCCCCGCCCCCCTGTGCCCAGCTACTCACATTTCGGCCTATCCACTTGTTCACTGGCTTCATGAGGAATGAGGAAAGGAAGCCGCTGATGTACATCACCAGGGGGATGGTGGCAATGAACTTCTGGAGAGGGGAGAGATGAGGATAGGTGAGCCCTGGAGCCAATGCTAGACTCAGAGGACCCTTCCTCCCCCAAGCAGGAGATGCCCTGCCCCATATCCTTCCCCAGCAGCAGAAGGACACCTCAGCCCTGCCCCTGGGCCCTTTGGGGCAAGCACATGGATGAAAGGTTATCTGGAGCCCAGTATTCAAGGGCAGCACCCGCCCCATGCCCCGAAGGGGGTGGGCACCCAGCACTGGCAGGAACCCTTCCTGCTGGCATCCCCTGCTGTTCACACCTTCGGCAGCAGCAGCGAGTTGGTCAGGTACATGGCAATGTAGGTCTGAGACAGATTGACAATGAGCCGCGTGACCATGTACAGCATCGCCACCTGCAAGGGAGAGTCGTGATGGCTCAGCTGGTGCTCACCCCCACCCCACCATCCAGCACAGCCCAAGAGCAGCGAGTGCAGGACGAACAGGGCCCCTGGAGCACACAGCACTGAGCCCCTGACAGCCTGGGGCACACAGAAAGAGGGCATTACAGGTGTAGGGCCAGCATCAGCTCAGCCCCCACTAGGCTCTTGTCCCATAGGAGGCCTAGCCAGCAGGGTCCCAAAATAAAGCTGGCTGCCACAAGCAGATGTTCCTTCTCTTTGCCACCAGAACAAACTCCTATCCCCTCCTCCCTGCTCCATGCCTTGGCAAGCCCTGGCAAAACTAGGGCTATTCACTGCAGACTTCACGGTTCAGCTACAGAGCTGCAGAGGCTGGTTGCAGTGTGGGCAAGCCCACCCAACCCCACTGAACGCTCCAGACCTGGCAGATCACCAGGGACGCTGCTCTCAAGGCATCCAAAAGCAAGTCTAGGGACAAGCCCAGAGCAGCTTCCCTGAGGAAGGTCCAAGATTGGAGCACATCAGCTGCCTTGGGCAGATGGGTATGCCCAGCCCCAGGCACCTGCTGTTGGAGGGGTGTGAGTGAACAAGTCCCCAGAGGCCCCAGCTTGCAAGTCACCATGCAAACCAAGGAGGATCTTGGTCTGTTCTTGGTGGGGCAGCAGTAGCCACACAAAGGTGTCAGTACAATGGACTTCAAAGCAGGGGCCAAGCTCTGGAAGTGATGCCAATCAAGCAGGGTAGGATAAGCCCTGCAGGGGCACACAGCACTAACCTCACTGCTGCCTGGACTGCACCATCCCACAGGCCCAGGTCAGCCAGTGATGCTCAGCTCTCATGAAGCTCCCTCGCCCTAGTCCCCAATACCTGGTAGAAGGCAGGCTCCAGCAGCCAGTGCTTCCACAGCATAAATGGGAGTGGGGGGGTCCTGCCCCCACCATGCAGCAGCGGCGTGTGCTCCTCGGGGTCAGGCGGCCTGGCTTGGGGGTGCTTCTTCTCCTTGGTGCCCACGTGGAAGAGGAGTGAGAACAGGGCACCCAGCCCGACCACGATGAGGGACAGGTTCTGGGGAGGGGCAGGAAGGAGACTGAACAGACAGGCCACAGAAGCCAGTGGGGACAGAGCGGACACCAGGCATGCATGCAAGGGTTAATCCACTGCTGCACCTCTGGCGAGTTCAGGGAGATTTGGGTTAGGAGACCCTGGGCTCCAAGTCCCAATCTGCTGGGGGTTTCATAATTGCATCTAGGTACCTCGTGCTGTCCCTCCGACTCCCCCAGCACTTCTGTACTGGGGCAGGGGGCAAGCTGAGTCCCAGCACCATCTCACTGGTATCCCTTATTTCACCTGCCCCATCCCTGGAGCCATCACAGCCCCAGCTCACCCCTCCTACCCAGGCCATCCAGGCAGACAGGCCAGCCGTGTGAGAGAGCCTGGGGCGAGGGAAGAGAGCAGAATCCTGCCCCACACCCAGGAGTCTTGGATCTGCAGGTGACCCGACCCCAGCCCCCTCTGCAGAGCTCCACCCCTCCCCTGCACATTGCCCAGCCCAGCTCACCCGGAACAGGGGGATGTCCTGCTTGCCCAGGTGATCCATCTGCTCTGCTGGCCCTGTGCGCCCAATCTGGAAGTGCAAGAGTAGCCAGGCCACAGCATACACAGTGATGTTGGCCATGACAGTGAAGGCGTACCTGTGGGGAGAGCACAGCAGTTCATGGGGTGCTCGCACATGGCCTCCAGCTTGCACTGTGTAGCGGAAGAGGAAGACAAAGAACAAGGCTCTGTCTCTGGTTTGGGCAACTTCTTCCCAAGTTTCAATTATTTCTGCAACCCAGACCACCAGCCTGCCACACTCATGGCAAGGCACAGCTGTATGTAAGCATGCACTGGATGCAGCCTGCTGCTGGAGGGGTCGAGGGTGTTGCAGCATCCAGAATGCATCCTGCAAAGACATGTCCTCTGAACACATGAATGGGGGAGGTCTCTGTTGCCAAGGTGGGGGGAGCACTTCCATGCTTCCAGGACTGCTGAGACCAGTACTCACCTCCACCCACTTGGGGGGATGCCAGCCAGCACAGCGCTGGATACTAAACCCTGGGACCCTGTCTGGGTCCCACTGAGCCACCAGCTCAAACACAGCATCGACTCCAGCAGATCCTGTGCTGTCCACATCCGTCCTTTGGGGGTGACTTTCTGAGACAGCTCACCGCAGTGAGGTGGCTTCCGCCCACTGATGGCAGATAACCAAGCCACATGCATTTGTCTCAGGCTGATAAGGCAGCCGCCCCTACCACCTGATCCAGCCTGATAGCGCAGCATGGCGCTGGGCTCTGCAGCTGGTCGGGCTGGGTTCGCTCGTTCTGTGCGTCTGAGGGCTCTCTGCTTCAAGGGTCATGTCTTCGGCTGGCTGCAAGGTGAGGCCAGCTCCATACATAGCACCCATCCACTGAGAGGACACCTGTGCATGTGCTCGCAGGGGCAGGAGGAAGCACATTTTAATTAGAGTGGCTCTCAGGAGACGCTCCAATTAAAAAGCCTGCAATGTCTCGTGTATTCAACGCCCTGCATTTCAAAATGATGGTGGGGGGCACTTTGAACAAGTTTTAGTTAAATCCCGCCCCCCCAACATTTTGAAACGTGGGGACACTGAATAGGCAAGACAGTGCAGCACGCTGGGGCGCTCGGAGCAGAGCGTGCCAACAGAGTCGATTAAGCAGAACGCTCTAATCAGAACGCTTCGGAGCACGTGTAAAAGTGCCCAGAGTGCCAGGCCCCACCGACCAATGCCCAAAATAGCCCCCACCTGGTTTCCACGGCTAGAACCAGAATCCCAGACCCAAACATCTCAGGCTGCAGGGCAGCTCAGCTCCTCTCCCCTCAGGAAAACAGACAGGGTCACAAGGCTGGGCTCATCCAGGGCAGCAGAGCAGTCCAGGCACCTACTCTACCTGCATTTCCCCTGCAGCTGCTGGCCCAGGGTCTTTACAAGCTGCTGGGCACATGCAGACTCCCAGGGACCCTCCCCAAGAGAATCAATACCCCCTCCTCCTCGCTTTGTAAGAGGACCCTTGCAAGGCAGCACCTACCTCGCTACCCACTCTGGAGGAGGTTCCTGCAGGAACTCCTTGGAGTAGACAGACCATCAGCTACCACTGTTCCTGCATGGCAGGGGGGTCCAGGATCTGTCACACCCGAGAGCCTGGCTGCTGGGGGGAATGGATGAGGAGACTGGGCAGTGCCTAGCATGGCCTGTCCTCTTCAGGCCCAATGCAATGACCCAGAGGAACCAAGGGCTGAGTCCCAGGCACTTTGGACCCAGCCCAAGGCCCCTTAGGAAAGAAGGGGCATGCAGGGCAGCAGCCCACAGGTGACAGGTTTGGATTAGGATCCTGCTCAGGCTGGGGACTGTCAGGCTTTATCTGCATTTATTCTGTAGGAGTCCAGATTAACCCTCTCAGCCCCTAAAGGGGCCTATACATCAGCAACAGCTGCAAGGCAAGGGCAGAAACACAGCCCTGCCCACTGAAGCAGCAGCTGGTCATGCAGAGAAAACAGCCATCCACTCAGCCACCTCTCACTGTACAGCAAGAACCTGCTGGCAGGTCCCATCCTGCTGCCTCTGGAATGGATCGTGCCAAGTCCCAGGTGCTACACAAGGTACAGAGCAGTGTGACGGCAGGGCTGGGCCCCCTGGCACTCCATAACACTACCAAGCAGTCAGCAAGTCCTATTAGCCTATGCCCAGGCAATTGGGAGAGGCAGAGGGGTTACCACCTACTGTCATGATAGCCAAGCATATCCGGTTTAGCCCAACCTTCCCCGCGGCATCTCCCTGCACAGGGGCCCCAAACCAGGCCTGTTCTGACTGAAAGAATATGCAGAGCACACAGCCTGCCTCTGAGGCAGGGGAATCAGCCCCTTCCTGAACTCCAAAGCCAACGGGCTGCTCCCTCTGCTGCAGAAGCAGCCCACACCACCAGCACCAAGTCCCAGGCTTGGACCCAGCTGGCAGCCTCGGCAGTCACAGTGCAGGCAGCACCTCTCACCTGAGAGCAGTGAGCTCCACCTTCTCGTGGTCGGTCGTCACCAGCTCTGGGATGAGTGAGAGGTGGGAGATCTGGGTGGCTGCCCAGCCGAACTGGAAGATGATTATGAAGGGAATGAAGTAGAAGAGAGCTGCCCACTGGGGTGTGCTCTCCTGGCAGCCCAGGCAGGGGTTGAAGATGAAGGGGAAAGTCAGCAGGACACAGATAGTCCCTGGGGAAGCAAGAGAGACGAGAGTTAAATGCCTGGTTTTGTTCCCAGCTAGACACAAAGGAGGGAGCTGGGCCCGAGAGGCATAAGTCCCATTTCTACCCACATGGCCCTGCAGGGACCAAGTTATTTCACAGACTACAAAACAACAGAGCACTGTTTGCAAGCAGGGTCTGCACTGCTGTACTCCACAGGGATGCCAGCCATCACCCCTCACTCCTCTGGCACTCAGGAGATGTGTCCGTGGCGCACTGTCCTGGGAACCCCTTCCCTGCAAGGTCCCAGCTAAAGTGCAAATGCCTCCTGGATACCTTCTCACCTCTTCAGACAACAGAAAGCAGCTACTGTCACCATAAGAAGGCAGCACCCCTAGATGCATAGAGACTGGAGGCAACCAGCACCCTGGACCAATTTGGGATCGCATGGATCACAGCGAAGGAGTCAGCAACCAAGGCAGGCAATATTTTTATTTGCAAGGGAGAACACAGCAGGTAAGAGAGTCTCTCAGCCCCAGTCACAGCCTGCAGGATCCAGTCCCTGCTCCAGTCCCAATGCTCCTTGGGCAAGTGATGCCCCAGGCCCACATCTCCTGCTTACTCCCAGGCCAACCTCTTCTGCACCCAAAGGCACAAGTGTGCTTCTCTAAGCATCAGTCTGGAGCAAAAAGCTACAATCCCACACCAAGTGGAGGAGCTTGCTACATTAGGCTGCTCCACAAGAGACAACAGTTTTCTGCTGGTTCAGAGATTTCAGGCCCAGGATTCTCCAGCAGGAAACCAAGGCACAGAGGTGCCAACCAGCTCCTCACCCTGCAGACAGCAAGAGCAGCCTCCTTCCTGCCTGGGCAGGTAGTAATCCCCCTGTTTCACAGACCCAGAAAATGGGTAAATTCAAGGTCACACAGTGAGGCAGCATCTTGAGCCAGGATCAAGCCCCAGACAAGAGCCAGCTGGGGCTCCCTGTTTTGTGCCTCAAACAGTGCCTCATGCTCCCACTGAGGCTAGAGGAGAAACCCTCTTCAGTAGCCCTTCTGAGGCCAGCGCACTACATCATGGATGGACATTAATCAGCAGGAGAGTTTCAGCAGCTGATCATTCCCCCAAGGGCAGACACCATCTCCAGATCATTTCCCCCATCAACACTTTCAGAGGACTCTCCACGGAAAGGTCTTGTGAAGGCCCCTTTCACCCTCCTCTCTGCAGAAGCAAGACGCGTGAGAAACCCATGTGGTCTGCTGCTTGTGACTCCTCCACATCATCTCATCTCGGCACTGCTCTCCCCACCCCGCACAGGTGGCTCACTCACCTCCCCCGGGGTAAGCATGCAGATAACCCTGTCTCCCTGTACAGGGCACCTGCACCCTCCACCCACCGCAGTGGGCTTTGCACTTGCAAACCACCAGGCCCAGAGTAGGAAAGGAAGGAAGTTGGAGGCCCCTCAAGAAGGCAAAACATAAGTAAGGGCCAGGCTGAAGAGCCAGCAGTAGGAGGCTCATGGACCATTCCCTGCAGGCTCTGGATCAACAGGAAGGCTCCTTCCTGACCTTGCCCAAAAGTCCCAGCCAGAGCTAACAGAGAGAGAAGGCAGCACAGGTTTGGCACCAATGCACTGAGAGCTGCTAGAGGCATTGTGGCACCAGGACTCTGGTGAGGCAAGACGTGCCCTTGCTGCTGCTTTTCCAAACAAGCCCCCCACGCTCCGGCAGCTTTGCGTGGGACCCAGAAGTGTTGTTCTGAGAAGCTGCCGCCTTCATTCAGTGCTAGGCTGTGGTTTCGGCTTCCTATGAAGCACTGCTGGATTAGAAACATAAAAGGGAAGTGCCAGGCACAGGATGAGAATGAAACCAAATGCCAGCCACGGCCGAGATTCCCCGTCTCCAGCACAGCCTATCAACCGTCTCTCCGTCCAGTACAGCAATTTAAGCACCACGGCCCCCTTTCACAAGGAAGAGGCCACATCCATGCTCCAGCTTTGTGCAAGCAGGAGCAGACTGGCTGGGCTGCATCTCCTTTCCATGGGGTTACGTGTCACATCCTGTTTAAATGCACGCATCCAAGTGCACTAAGATGCCTTCCTGCTCCCAACCACGCTTGCTGCTTCACCTGCAGGAGGGGAAGCGTGAAGGGCAGCTGGGCTGGATCCTGTTTCCAACTGTTCTCTTCAGCCCTGTGTGGGTGACAACTCTGGGTCTAGGCCCAGATTCCAACATAAGTCTTTCTGCCAACCAAGTCCCTGCAGCTTTGAACCAGCTACAAAGATCTGCACAAGAGCTGATCCCACCTGAGAGGGGAAATCCCAGTTTCCCAGCATTTGCCTTTAAAATCAACTCTTAAACAGATGCTTTTGCAGTTTTCCTTCAAACTGAGCACTAGCCAGAGGCACTGGTCCTCCCATAGGTGACGTGTAGGGGGCATGCAGGGGGCACATGCCCCCCCTGAGAGCAAGTGTTCTGGCTGATACAGGGGCCTGGAGAGCGTTTGTGCCCCCCCCCCCAACCACAAAATTGGCTCCACTGATGGGATGTTGGTGGTGGAAATGCTGGCGGCAGAAGTCCCAGCAATTCCACTGCTGCCATGCTGCATGCAGAAGTGCTGGGAGTTGCCCCAGCATCCAGTTGCCAGCTGCGGGGGGGGACCACCACCGCAGTCATGCAGCGCTGGTGCCCCCCCAGACTCAGGAGACACCAGTTGCCCATGGATCCTCCACTGCTGCCTGCCTGCCACCCCTCCCACACCCTCCATTCTACAACGTCATTGGTGTTACAGAGGCCTCTGCCAGCACCATGTCCCCACAGTGCTAGATGCTGTGCAGACACATAGCATCCTCAGGACCAGCAGTCTCAAGCCTTCTTTCAATGAGACAGTTACAGTGGTTTAGACTTGAGTAAAAATGTAGACAGGTTTAGGGCTAGTCTCCATATGAGTTAATCCACATTAAAATAGGGTGTGAAGGTACAGCATAACAGCTATTGCAGAGCAATCCCAGTGGAGGCAAACCCTGGTTAAAACCAGTGTACGTTCCTGCACGGCCAGTTTAGCTTAAATCTATTCCCAGTCCGTTTCAGCCAAGCCTCTCATACCAGAGAGCGTTCACACCAGGCTCTCACTGCTTTAACTACATCGGTTTAAATCCAAGACTGGCACTACTGTGCCTCTCAACCAGCCTGTGGCAGAGGAATGATCCCCATAGCACACATGCTATGGATGAGCAGGGGGCTAAAGTGAGCTCCCCCAGTCACATTTTCCAATGGGCTTTGTGGCCAACCAGGCCCCATTTCCAGTTTGCAGCGAAGCCTAGAGATTTTTTTTCCTGCATCACTCCTTCAAGGCCTGAACTGTAGTAGTTAGCTTATCTGCAAACACCAGAGTCAGCAATTGCTGAAGTGTAGCCGGGCAAGCTGAGTCAGCCTCCAAGTTAGCAGGGCATGTTTTTCCCCTGTCACCAGGGGACATTTTCCTACTGCACACCAGGCTTCTGTCCCTCTAGCTGTTACATTGGTGATCAGCTGTCAGAAGTCTGCCTCATGACCCAGCTGGGCATGCACTTTAGGACAGCTCAAATCAAAGGCCCTGTGGGACAGGATCAAGTTGAAACAAATCTAAGTGCCCAGCAGGGACAGTCCACTTACCAGTCTGGGGATCAAAGCTGTTACTCTGAGCCTGGGAGCAACATGGTGTCCTCATTGGGGACATCAATGAGCGCTGTATGCAGGGATGCAGGTCAGGATGTGCCCCCAGCATTCAGAGGAAGCCAGCATGAAAGGGTCCATAGAGATGCTAGGGCTTTCAACTGACCCATCTGTTTGAAGCCTGCACTCCCCAGGAGGCCCTCATTTTCTGAAGTCCACTCGTGACATGGCTCTGTCATGAATGTGCCTGCTAAAAATAGCAGATGGAATTGGGGTGCCTCGCTCACATGCAGGAAGGCTAGGAAGCTCTTGCCGAAGTCTCTGTCCAGGACTGATTTTTATCAGAAAAACAGCAATGGTGTAAGTGGGCCCAAGCCTCTGCGGCTTCAGCTTCCTGTGAAGCACTGCTGGACCGGAAACACAAAAGAGAAGTTCCAGGCACAGGATGAGAATAAAACAAAGTACTCTCTAAGGCCAAGATCCCCCTTCTCCACACAGCCCATTAGCGGTGTCGCTGCTCTCCTAGCAGGACAGTAAGTTGCTAGGGCCCTCGCATGCCCTTTCCCTCTGCCTGGCTCGGGGCACAGGGTCAACAAGAAGGGCATGAAGTGTCCCTCTCTGCTCCCCACCCAAGACTAGCAAACTCCAGGCAGACAGGAGAGGAGTTTCCTGCCTCATAGGCAGGGGTGGGAATTTAACCAGTCTCCCATGTCTGATCTGGCCAAAGGAAAAGGAACCGGTGTCCCTCTCAAACAAAAGCAGTGTCCATGGGTCAGACCACATTGGCATGAATCAAAAGTTGTCCACACAAACCTACAGAACCAGGCCCCTCCAGAGGCAGGACCAGAGTAACAGCTCCTTTAAGAAGCTCAGACATCAAATAATCAGACTGAGCTGTTCAGCCCTGACCGCACGCAGAAGCAGACCTGTAGGTGTCTGAGAAACCGCGCTGGACAAATGCAAGGGCCTACAGACTTTGGATGCTTTTAAGACTGGGGTGGGGTGCAGTAGGGACAGGACTACGCCCTTGGACTTGGGTGCCCAAGTTCCTCCCAAGTTCCATGACAGGTGATCCGGTTCCTCTGTGGATCTGGCCCTGCATCCCATCCGTAAGAGGAACATAGCACCAACCCATCACTGGAATCCTTCAGGAATAAACACGCACAAGACGCTCAGGTTGTATTTATGGTCTCAGCACCATGCAGTCAAGGAGCTCATATTTCTCCTGCAGCTCTTCAAGCCTCCAATCCAGCAAGGCACTGAATGC